TATTCCTCTACATTGCCGGTGTACTGGTTCACCTCTCATGAGACCAACCGGGAGAGGAAGCACACAAAGACTGAAGAGTGAATACTGTACACTAGACTACAGAAGCGTTTTCTTCATATTCTATGTGCTTGTAGGCTGTGCGGTAGATAGCTTGGCCATTCAAGGTTGGGGTCTGGCGTGCTCCCTACAGTAGGTGTTCTACAGATTCCTTTTGCATATACGACCATCACTTGTCATCTCAAAGAAACATACAATACAGGAGGCGCCCCATGCTCAGTCTGCAGTGTTTCCTTATGAATGTCACAAGTTTCAATAGATGCATGAGCATGTTCAATACGCACAGTACAGACACAGACAGAGAGAGCAGGGAAAAGAAACAGACCTTTGCACGCTTTGCAGTTGTTCTCGAGGTGCTTCAAGCTGTGCTTTTGTTGTCTTGCTTTTCACGTACCTCCATATTCTATCTGCATAGGCCCCCGTTTTTAAATTGTATCTCAACTTGATATATTCTATCTGCATTTAAATAAAAAAGCCTTATTCTAACTGCCGGTGAACTATAGTACAACAATCACCGACCAGATGCCGACGGAGTTCTTCCTGCACCCGTGAGTTGCGAAAGCGCTCCCCTTACCACGGCTGGCAGGCCTGGCGCCGAGCAAACCAGTTGATGAGTCTCTTGCTACAGAGCCCGGTGCAGCCTGACGCGGTGCGGGGTGACTTGAGTGCGCTATGGTGACGACTGGTAGGTAGAACAATACTTTAATATCCCTGCAGATCCCGATTGCTCTCTAAGAAGCTAATCGGGCTTCAATAACGTTCTGGAGAATTCCTTGGGGCCCAGTAGTATTCTCAGAAGAAGTTGAGGAACTTTGTATTTTTCAAGGTTTCATAAAAGACCTAATCTCAAGGTATCGTGACCCTTTTTGGTGGTAGAACCCTGCAAAAGCCTCCACCTTCAGCCTTATCTGGCTCTGCCGTGCTATGTTTCTGCGCGATCTTCCACCGTCTGGAGCCTCAGACCGCCTTCCACAAGTCAGCCTGCAGCTGTATTGGTCAGCCTTAGATCCCAGACTGTGGTAGTTCGAACTACCGTTTATGTGTTTGTAATTGTTTGGGGGACATCACATAGATAAGCAAGGGGCCCTGTGTACCATCGTCGAATCCCGATGTCTTCGAGGTTGGATAGAGTAGCTGCACCTCACTTCTTGAGCTGCCCCCAACACTACAAACAAAAGTAGCAGTTCTGTAGGCAGGGCTTTGAAGTACAAATATATCATTTTCCCAAACCCAAACAATATGCCAATTGACCAGCCAAAGCTCTGCCATTTGTTTTGCCGGCAGCCTAAGCTCAGTCTTGCCATGCGTAAAGCCTTTCATCCTCAGTGACATCACCGTCCAGGAGGACACGGTCACAGTAGAGTGTCACATCGATATACAGCCATTCCACATCCAGCGGATCATCCCAACATTGAGGTACACGTACAATGTTGGGCCTCAAACTACAGTTTTCTGCAAAGTGATTAGATGATTTAGATGCGTGTTGTCTTTCTTCAAGCTGCGCCCATGAAGGATTTTTCTACAAACACTACCGAGGAACAGCCTCAAACTAGAACAAAGAACTTGGGCCCCTAAGCAAAGCCGGGGGGCAAAGAGGTTCAGGTTTGACACATCGGAAGAATTTTTGCTCAGTATGCCGATCTTCTTGCATGGTGTATCCTTGTGTGCCGGGCATGACAAATCGGGTTGCAACCATAGTAGGCTGAGAGATGCAGCCCCTGTCAGCGGACCAAAGCGAACAGGAATGGCTGCAGGATACCTGCACAAGTGCTAACCAGCAGCGCAACACGAAGACATCACAGTTTGGGGAGGCAGCTTGATCCCAAACCCCCCACCTGCTGGAACTTCCTAACACCAACATTGTTGAGTTTCTCCAGAGATGCCACAACCTTAGCGGCCAACATCTTCCTTCTCATTATTTTGGCTGAGTCAAGTGAGTTAAACAGTTAAACGGATGTTTGTGAGCCAGGCTAAAGGCACGGCGCCACTCCAGTCATTATAGTTAAACATCCGACTCATCTCATAAGAAACACATTTATATGAAAAGTAACAATGAACGACACAATGAAGAATCTTGAGAATGATGCTGAATTGGCTGTGGGACAAATTGGATTCTGTTCGGACCAAGAGGTGTCGTTTTCACGATGCCGTTGGGACGCTTTGCCTAGGTGCATTCCACATTCTGTTGGAGCTGCTGGGATTTGATTCGGGCGACCGGTTGAAAGCTCCCAGAGAAGACAGAAGAGAAAAAACTGTTTTTGTTTGGGGGCCTGAGAAGTAAATATCCATGTTCCTCATGGGAAGCATTTAAGTTTAAATCGTTTTGGGGTGTTGTTGGTATGATTACTTTCAGTGAAGAAGACTGCATATGCAAGCTATTCCTTGTAACAAGCTCATCGGATTTGTTGAGTGTAGAAGCGAATGGAGTGCGCAATTATATAGCTTTCTCGAAAGCCCAGACACTGTCACTCAACTCAGACATCACAACCCTTGTTCCATTTGTCCCATCAAAGTTGCTGGTGCTCAGCTATATCCCATGCACAACCTAACCTATCTAAGAATCGGCCCCAGCAATTAGAAAGCTGGCTTTTATGTCTCCTCCTGGTTGTGGCATACTGGTCGGCGCAAGTGATCTTAAGCTGGCAGAAAGTCCAGGAGACATGGTCAGCACAGCTCAGGAGCAATCAGTTGCAGAATGACCAACTTTTTGAAGGAGACTTGATGACTCTGACCTGTATTTGGCTGTATCGAAAACGCTCCAATCTTTGGTTATTTGACCCTCATACATTTGATACGGAGCCTCATGACCTGCTGGAGCAACTTCCGCATGGGAGACATGACCTGGGAGGGACGACATTGACCTCGCACTTCGAGGTGACGAGGCCAAGCAGGAGCAACAGCAGTTCTTGCGGGATGCCATCCGAAGCCTCCACACCTACGTTTCGCATAGTTGCGAGACTGATGACTGGCATGATTCTCCGCGGTTGTCGCTGTCTCTATTTATAAACCGTCCTGCGATGATAGGCATACAGTCATACAATATCATATGAAGCTAAAGACATACTGCTGCTGCATTGGGAGCCTAGAAGTTTTGGTGTTTCCACACTCAGACACTGGCGACTTCAAAGATCCAGAGCCAAAAACTCAAAGAAATGTGGCATGTGCTTCAGTGTTTTGTGGCCTTGTCTTCCCCCGGAGAACACGAACTCAGGTTCCCTTTTTCCGGATCCTCGCGCCTGGCGGTGCACCGGCCGCTGGATGGACTATACCAGCTGGAAGTCTCGAGGCCCCGAGCGTCACCGGCGCATCGGTCACCGTGGTCGTTGACTCGGGAGATGAACCTTTTGTCGTATGCGAGTACCATATACATCCATATACTACCATATTACTGCGACCTTGGGCGTACGTTTGCATACATGTATGATCGCATGTTGCATATATATATATAAGTATATATAAGTATACTGTATATGTATGCAACATGCGAACATTTGGACACAGATTGACACTTTCTCTTCAGGAAGCAGGTCTCTAGTATAAAGGAGAGTTGATTTCCCGGAGCGGGTGGGTTTCAGGTTGGTGTCAGTTCGAGCTCATTGTGAACGTGCTGATGGGCGCCAGGCACGTTCGCTCTGTGCGTTTCTCCTTGGTGTTAGCCTGGCTTGCTGCTTCCACGCGGCGAAATGCCCCAGTTTGTTTGAGCCTTGAGCCTAGAACATTAAGAAGAGCCCAAGTGAGTTCTCTCAGGTGGCTTTGAATGGTAAGCCGACGGTAAACCCTTCTATGTAGTTCCCAAGGCCCACTACACCACCACTTGTCACATATATATACCTTGAGTCTCCAATGACCCTTTTAAATTTGCCTTTCCAAGAAAAAGAGGTTTTTGAAAGAAAGCACTCTTTTTTGCATATGTCACGAAATGTTCCTTTTTTGTTTGTGCCCTGTCAGATCCTCCTTGGACAGTGTCCTGAGACCTTTTTTCGGCGTCCAAAACGCGTCTTTTTGCGTCCAAAAGGCGTCTTTAAGCGTCCGTGCCGGACGCGTCCGGATGAAGATTCACTCTGCACCTTTTTTTGAGTCCTCATCTCTAAAAACGCGTTTTTCGAGCAAAAACGCAAAAATATTAGACCAAAAACAAAAACGCAGAAAAAAAAGGTCTTTGGAGACTCAAGGTATATATATATACATATACATATATATATATACATATATATATACATACATATATATATATACATATACATACATATATATATATATACATACATATATATACACATACACTAGTGGAAGTGCAACATTGAAATGGCCGCATTTTGCACCGATTGAGATGCCCCAGGACCTGAACCTTTCTTATCCTTTGAGCCCTGTCATGTTGGAAACCACATGAAATCAAAACCACCCTGATCCTTTTGGTATTGAAACAATATGATGAAACCACATCCCGTGCTCCGCCCTGCTCTCCCGGCGGGCGCCGGTGATGGTCCAAGGCCTCGGGTCAGTGGCTCGGCGGAAGAGGTCGTCGGTAAGCGTCGAAAGGACTTGGAATAAGGGGTTAAGAATATATAACTTATAGAATAGGGGTCTACATATATATATATACTTAGAATAGGGGCTCGTAGAATAGGGGCTCTCAATGAGTTTTTACATGTTTAAACCATTGTGAATCATCACGAAAGGTAGCTTGAGCTACCTGAGTTCTCCTTGCTTTGGCAAAAATGCATTACGATCTGTAGTTGGGATTGTGCATTGAATTTTGTCCTGTAAGTAATGATTCTGTTTGTGGCCCCCCCCCCCTGGATCATTCCTCCCCTGCGCCGGGTCACATCCATCCACCTTTGACGCCGTCATGGACTTCTACCAGGGTTACTTGTGATTGCCTGCTACCTTTCGCTTTCGTTCACCCCCTCCTCTCTCAAGTTTTGAGATGTTCGGTCTTTGCTTGGATTGGGCGTGAAACTCCTGGACAAAGAAGACTTTGACAAACCATCTCGGCGGTCGGGTTTACTCGAAAAACCTTACCTCTAGTGGATGCACCTTTGCATCACTCGCCATCACTGTAATCAAGACAGTCGACATTTTTGCGAGCCCGTGCTTACATGTTTCCCAGCCAGTGAGTATTGCGATACTCGTTAGGCCCAACTTGATGCACGCATTCACGGTTCCGTTATGATTTTCTTGATCACTTCAGGAAAGGGTATATAAACGAGTCTTATAAACTTAGACACATTCTGATCCACCAATTCTTTGCTTCATGAGCAGTCAGGGGTCTTCATAAGAATATGTTGTAACTGTGTAACTTGCCGATAATTTAGGTACCACGGCAACTTTGGTACACATGGTTTCCATTTGATGGCAATATCTCATATATTGCACAAACTTCAAGCCAGCCAAAGTGCTGCTTGAATCATGCCACCAAAGTGTCGCCATTTTGTGTGTTTGATCCCAGTCTGTTTGTTTCTTGTGCTTTACAGCCAAGTTCGTGGCTTCCCACTCAGATGGGGTGAGGTGAAGTTCAACATGGGCGTTCTGAAACCCACACCCGAAGCAGCCGGAAAGGCAGAAGGAATACATCCGTTGGAATCTCTCCCTCGCTCTCTCCCAGAACCGCATGTGGGTCGCGGAATCTACCAGCTGCGCAATGATGAC